GGGGGGGGGGGGGGGGGGGGGGGGGGGGGGGGGGGGGGGGGGGGGGGGGGGGGGGGGGGGGGGGCCCCCGGGCCCCCCCGCCCCCCCCCCCCCCGCCGGGGCCGCGGCCCCGGGCCCGCCGGGCCGCGGCGGGCCGGGCCCCCGCCCCCCCCCCCCCCCCCCCCCCCCCCCCCCCCCCCCCCCCCCCCCCGCCGGGCGGGGGGGGGGGGGGGGGGGGGGGGGGGGGGGGGGGGGGGGGGGGGGGGGGGGGGGGGGGGGGGGGGGGGGGGGGGGGGGGGGGGGGGGGGGGGGGGGGGGGGGGGGGCGGGGGGGGGGGGCGGGCCCGGGGGGGGGGGGGGGGGGGGGGGGGGGGGGGGGGGGGGGGGGGGGGGGGGGGGGGGGGGGGGGGGGGGGGGGGGGGGGGGGGGGGGGGGGGGGGGGGGGGGGGGGGGGGGGGGGGGGGGGGGGGGGGGGGGGGGGGGGGGGGGGGGGGGGGGGGGCCCGGGGGGGGGGGGGCGGGGGGGGGGGGGGGGGGGGGGGGGGGGGGGGGGGGGGGGGGGGGGGGGGGGGGGGGGGGGGGGGGGGGGGGGGGGCCGGGGGCCGGGCGCCCCGGGGGGGGGGGGGGGGGGGGGGGGGGGGGGGGGGGGGGGGGGGGGGGGGGGGGGGGGGGGGGGGGGGGGGGGGGGGGGGGGGGGGGGGGGGGGGGGGGGGGGGGGGGGGGGGGGGGGGGGGGGGGGCCCGCGGCGGGGGGGCCCGGGGGGGGGGGGGGGGGGGGGGGGGGGGGGGGGGGCGCCGGGGGGGGGGGGCCCCGGGGGCGCCGGCCCGGCCCCCCCCCCCCCCCCCCCCCCCCCCCCCGCGGGGGGGGGCCCCCGGGGGCGGCCGCCCCCCCCCCCCCCCCCCCCCCCCCCCCCCCCCCGGGGGCCCGCGGGGGCCCCCCCCCCCCCCCCCCCCCCCCCCCCCCCGCCGGGGGGGCGGGGGGGGGGGGGGGGGGGGGGGGGGGGGGGGGGCCCGGCGGCGCGCCCCGGCCCCCGCCCGGGGGGGGGGGGGGGGGGGGGGGGGGGGGGGGGGGGGGGGGGGGGGGGGGGGGGGGGGGGGGGGGGGGGGGGGGGGGGGGGGGGGGGGGGGGGGGGCCGGGCGGGGGGGGGGGGGGGGGGGGGGGGGGGGGGTGGGGGGGCCCGGGCCCCCCCGCCCCCCCCCCCCCCCGGCCCGGGGCCGCCCCCGGCCCCCGGGGGGCGGGGGGCGGGCGGGCCGGGCGGGGGGGCGGGGGGGGGGGGGGGGGGGGGGGCGGGGGGGGGGGGCGGGGCCCCCCCCCCCCCCCCCCCCCCCCCCCCCCCCCCGGGGGGGGGGGGGGGGGGGGGGGGCGGGGGCGGGGGGGCCCCGCGGGGGGGGGGGGGGGGGGGGGGGGGGGGGGGGGGGGGGTGTTTTTTTGGGTTTTTTGGGTTGGGGTTGGGGGTTTTGGGGGGGGTTTTTTTTTTTTGGGGGCCGGGGGGCGGCCCCCGGCGGTTGGGGGGGGGGGGGGGGCCCGGGCGGGCCCCCCTCCCCCCCTGGCCCCGCGCGCCCCGCCCCCCCCTTTGGGGGGGGGGGGGGGGGGGCCGGCCGGGGGGGGGGGGGGGGGGGACGCGCCGGGCCAATTTTTGGGGGGGGGGGGACCCCCCCGGGGGGGATAAGGGGGCGGTTTGGGGGGGGGGGGGGGGGCGGGGGGGGGGGGGGGCGGGGGGGCGGGGGGGGGGGGGGTGCCGCCCCCCGGGGGGGGGGGGGGGGTTTTCCCGGCGGGGGGGGGGGGGGGGGGGGGGGTGGGGGGGGGGGGGGGGGGGGGGGGGCCCGGGGGGGGCGGGGGGGGCCCCGGGGGGGGGGGGGGGGGGCCCCGCGGGGGCCCGTCGGGCCTTTCCCCCCGCCCCCGTTTCCGCCTCCCCCCCCTCCCGTGGGGGCAACCCCGGGTTCTCCGCGCCCGGGGGGGTTTGGGAGGGCGGGGGGGGGGGGGGGGGGCGGGGGGTGGGGGGCCGGCGGGGGGGTGCGGCCGGGGTGGGGGGCGGGGGGGGGGGGGCCGGGGGGGGGGGGGGGGCCCCCCCGGGGGGGGGGGGGGGCGGGGGGGGGGGGTTGGGGGGGGGGGGGGTTTTGGGGGGGGGTCGGGCGGGGGGGGTGGGGGGGGGGGGGGGGGGGGGGGGGGGGGGGGGTTTTGGGGGGGGGGGGGGGGGGGGGGGGGGGTTGGGGGGGGGGGGGGGGGGGGGGGGCCGGGGGGGGGGGCCCGCCCCGCCCGGGCCGGGGCCCGGCCCCCCCCCCCCCCTCCGGGGGCCCGCCCCCCCGCGGGGCCGGCCGGCCGGCCGGGGGGCGGCCCCGGTCGGCTCCCGGGGCCCCGGGTGCCGGGGGGCCCCGGGGGCGGGGGGGCCGGGGGGGGGCGGGGGGGGGTGTGGCGGGGGGCCCCTTTGGGGGGCGGGGGGCCCGGCCCCCCGCGCGGGGGCGGGGCGGGGGTGGCCCGCCGGGGGGGGGGGGGGGGGGGGGGGGGGGGGGCGGTTTCGGTGGGGGTTGTGTTTTTTTTTTTGGGTTTTTTTTTGGTTGGGTTTTGGGGGGGGTTTGGGGGGGGTTTTTGGGGTTTTTTTTGGTTTTTTTTGGGGTTTTTTTTTTTTGGTTTGGTTTTGTTTTTTTTTTTTTGATAGTTTTTGGTGGAGGAAAATTTTTTTTTTTAGGGGGGGGGGGGGGGGGGGGTTTTTTTGTTTTTGGGGGGGGGGGGGAAGGGAATTTTTGGTTTTTTTTTTTTTTTTTTTTTTTGGGGGGGTGGTGGGGGGGTTTTTGGTTGTGTTTTGGGGGGTTTTGGGGGGTTTGTGGGGGTTTGGGAAGGGGGGGGGGGGGGGGGGGGGGGGTGGGGGGGGGGGGGTTGGGGGGGGGGGGGGGGGGGGGGGGGGGTGGGGGGGGGGGGGGGGGGGGGGGGGGGGGGGGGGGGCGGGGGGGGGGGGGGGGGGGGGGGGGGGGGGGGGGGGGGGGGGGGGGGGGGGGGGGGGGGGTTGGGTTGGGTGGGGGCGGCGCCGGCCGAATGGGGTGGGGGGGGGGGGGGGGGGGGGTGGTTTTGGTTGGGGGGGGTTTTTTGTTTTTGGGGGGGGGTCCTTTGGGGGGGGGGGGGGGGGGGGGGGGGGGGGGGGGGGGGGGGGGGGGGGGGGGGGGGGGGGGGGGGGGGGGGCGTTGGGGGGGGGGCCGGGGCGGGGGGGGGGGGAAGGCAGAAGAGGTATTTTAGGTAGGAGGGGGAGCGTGTTGGTTTGGTGGGGGGGTTTTTTGGTGTGGGGGGGGGGGGGGGGGGCGGGGGGGGGGGGGGGGGGGGGGGGGGGGGGGGGGGGGGGGGGGGGGGGGGGGGGTGGGGGGGGGCGAGGGGGGGGGGGGTCCAGACGAGAGGGGGAGGGGGGGGGGGGGGGGGGGGGGGGGGGGGGGGGTGGGTGGTGGGAGGTGGTTGTGGGGTTTTTTGTGGGGGGGGGGTTTGGTTGGGGTGTGGGGGGGGGGGGGGTGGGGGGGTTTTTTGGGGGGTGGGGGGGGTGGGGGGGGTTGGTTTTTTGGGGGGGGGGGGGGGGGGGGGGTGGGTTTTTGTTTTTTTTGGTTGTTGGGGGGGGTGGGGGGGGGGCCCGTTTTTTGGTTGGGGGGTAGGGGGGGGTGGTTGGTTTTGGGGGGGGTTTTGGGGGGGTTTTTGGTGGGTTTGGGGGTTGTGGGGTTTTGGGGGGGGGGGGGGGGGGGGGGGGGTTTTTTTTTTGGTTTTTTGGGGGGGGCCGGGATTGGTTTTTTGTTTGGGGGGGTTGGTTGGGGGGGGGGGGGTGGGGGGGGGTGGGTGTGGTGGGGGGGGGTTTTTTTTTTGTTTTTTTTTGTTTTTTTTGGGGGGTTTGTACACTTATGTTACCTTAAATTCCAATCTTAGGGCACAAGCAGATAGCGAATTTGGTAACTTATAAGATGTGTGTGAACGCGATATATGGGAAGACGATGCAGAATATCCGAAAACATCGAATCATTAAATTAATAAACACCTAGGCAGGTCGGTATGGTGCGAAAAACTTAATATCTAGACCAACATTTCATAGTAGTGCGATTTTCGACGAAGATATGGTAGCTATTGAGTTAAACAAAACACATTTAGTCTTTAACAAGCCTCTTTATATAGGTATGGCAATTTTAGACATTTCCAAAACCTGCGTATACAAATTCCATTACGATTATATGTTAAATAAATTTGGTATAGATGCATGTAAATTATTGTATACTGACACTGACAGCTTAATTTATGAAATTAAATGTGAAGACGCTTATCAGGAAGTACCTAATCGGTAATGAGATAGCAGGGTTCGACACTAGCGACTATACGCTCCTGATAATCCATATGATTTACCACGCGTTAATAAAAAAGTAATTGGGTTAATGAAGGATGAAAATGCAAATAGACCAATGACGCATTTTATTGGACTTCGGTCAAAACAATATACATTTCAGGTGCAAAAGACAGATCATGAAACAAAATGCTTTAAGCAAGCAAAGGGAATCAAGTCAAATACGTACCTAGTGAAAAACAAGATACTTTTGATGACTATCTAGATTGTTTGAAAACTAAAGTTTCTAAATATGAAACCCAAAGAACAATAGTATCTAAAGCTCACACACTATATACTCGATGAAACAAATCAAAATTGCTGTAAATTCGCATGACGATAAACTCTTGCAAGACGCGTCACATACCACTCTACCTTGGGGCCATTATTCCATAGTTGCTGTAGATGATTAGTATCTTATTAACCTTGTACAAATATAATCAAACAAATATTCTGTACATGTGTAAGTATGTTTTATTCAGTATACAAATATAAGGTCTACTGATAAACACACATCCTGTTACACAGGAAGCTTGTGTGGTCGGTATTAGTTACTGACGCATGTATTTCATTCGAATAACAATGTTTTGACGTAATGTACAGGGTATAATAAATCAATTAATACTATATAAGAGTGTGTGTATTTTTTTATCCATTTAACCGCAATCCTCCTTTGTGTTACAAGTTGAAATAGCTCAAAGGGAGAGCGACAGACTGAAAATCTGGAGAGCTTGGTTCAATCCCAAGTTTCAAAAACTTTTTATCCACCTTGTACTATCTAAATTTAAATTTGGCGCGACATACGAACCGTGCTGTCAACTTCTTGTACCTGAAGAACTTACGTCACACAAATATAGGCACCATCCTTCTCCACCTTCAACAGCCACAGGTCATTGCCGTCAACTTCTTGTACCTGAAGAACTTACGTCATCCCACAACAGAAGGCGTTAGTATCAATTCATGTTAACAGAGACAAAGAGTTTGAGTACCAAGGCCCTGGATTCAATTCCCAGTTTCAACATTTTTCCTGCTACGCCACTGCTTATTCAAAGGGGTCATAATATGAAAATTCAATATAATAAATTAAATAAATAAATATACCGACGTCTATGATATAAATTTCCATTTAATGAATACATACACGCACTCTCTTATCTTTGCAACAGGATGCGGTTTTATTAATCTGGTTATCGCAAGCACTAATAAATATTATTTTAAAGTTAAATTCTACATGTCGATACAAAACTGAACCTTCACTCCAACCTCTCCGGTCATTGCCGTCAACTTCTTAGAGGTAGGTACCTACCTGAAGAACTTACGTCACACCTTTCCACCGCCATCCTTATTCTTTCTCTCGCTCTCTCTCTTCCTTCAACAGCCCCCCGGTCATTGCCATCAACCTCTTGTACCTGAAGAACTTACGTCACCCACACGCACACCAGCCTTCGACTTACGTCACACCTTGCCACCTCCATCCTCATTTTTTTCTCTTTCTCTTCCTTCAACAGCCCCCGGTCATTGCCATCAACCTCTTGTACCTGAAGAACTTCCGTCGCCCACACACCAACCTTCACCTTCAACAGCCACCGGTCATTGCCGTCTACTTCTTGTACCTGAAGAACCTACGTCACACACACCAGACCCCCCTACTCTTTGGTACATGCTGATGGACACATGCTATCCAGTTCATTTCCTGTGCCAGAACCCTCTTTGCTATACTACTGGCGGGTACGGTTAATGCAATACGAACAGCGTAGGCGGATACGGTTAATGCAGTACGGACAGCGTAGGCGGATACCAGGCAGGAAGCAATTAATACCCAATTATTACTACTACGGGGTACTCACTTTCCAGAGGGGACAGACGGTAGCGACCGACGTACTGCCACTGTAAATGCCGGCCAATACAATAGCATTTACGATGGAGCGTACTTGTCGTAGGGCTAGACAAGAACGGCGTACAAGCGAGTACCTACTTACAACTCTTACTTACTTCCTTTCTGGTCGGTTCTTCGCTGCTTCACTTTGGGCTGGTTGGAGGCACGTCTGCTTCGGGCGGTTACTGGACAGCAACTGATGCCGGTTCCTTCTCGCTATCCGCAGGGTATAGGCGAGACTAGGTCCGGGCTTGCGCGGCTGCTGGTATCTGCGCTCTGGCGAGATGAGCGACTTAATAATTCTTCGGTACCTACGGCCCAGAATATTTTCGGTGACGGCGGTTTTCGGACTTAGAAAAATTCCAGTCAGTACTCCAGCGACTTAGGCGGATTTACTTCAACGGCTACTCCTTGTCGATTACGGCGCGTGATCCATTCGACCGTGGCCCGGCGATAACTGAATCTCGCGGCGTACAGGAATGAGGTTCTCGAGCTATGGTGCCGGCGCACTGGTGACTTCGCGGACTTCGGAAAATTACTGCGGCGTTGTACTAGATATTAGGTATTCCTTGTATGACTAAAATGCACTTCATTACAATATTCTATTCGCAAGTAATTAGCTATTATCCTCTCGATGATTACTCCAGTCACTTCGCTCGTATCCAAATTTTCACTCGCGAATAATAGTAGATAGGATTCGTCGCTTATGACACTCCCCCCACCACTTTACCCCCCGGCCACGCCCCCTCCCCTCCCCTGGCCCCGCCCCTTTTTCAAGGTTGCGCTTCTGATTGGTCTCCCCCCACCCCTGGCCCCGCTCCCTTTTCAAGGTCGCGCTTCTCATTGGCCTACCCCCCATCTCTCGTGCCGCCCTCTTTCCAAGGTTACACGACGTCATTTCTAGGAATTTCTCAAGGCTGAGTGACATCATTCATGTTTCTGGAAATTTCTCAAGGCCATGTGGCGTCATTTCTGGGATTTTCCCAAGGACGAGTGACGTAATTTCTGGGAATTTCTCAAGGCTATGTGACGTCGTTTCTGGTGGGATTTTCCCAAGGCCGAATGACATCATTCAGATTTCAGGGAATTCCTCAAGGCCAGGTGACGTCATTTCAGGGAATTTCTCAAGGCCAGGTGACATCATTCATGTTTCTGGGAATTTCTCAAGGCCAGGTGACATCATTTCTGGGATTTTCCCAAGGACAAGTGACGTAATTTCTGGGAATTTCTCAAGGCCATATGACTTCATTGGTGTAGTGGTGTTCTGTGATGGTGTAGTGGGGGGTTCAAAGCCAAATTCAAGGATAATGATAAGATCTCCAAAACATTGACGTAAGATATCATCACTGTACAGGGTGATTCCCAGAGAATGGAACCCCCCGCAAACTTTGTTATCTTTTGAGATAGAGATAAATGTAAAATACAAAAGTTGTACAATCTTACCTAAAGTTTATAACAGTGATATTCAATTTTATACAGGATGTTCAGTAAAATGGTGGTGGACTAATATTGTATATTTTTTAATGGAACACTATACAGGGTGTTACATAATTGAATGTCAATATTGCAGGAGGTTAATCTACGCATGATTTTAAGACAAAAGTTTCATATAAACATAGGCCTGTTTTCGCTTTATTTTTGATTCACAGGGTGTTAAAGATTTTTTTGAAAATTTGTTTTTTTCCTAATAACTCCTAAACTGTATTAGATATTTTTATGAAACTTGGTGGGTGTAAACTAAGTGTAAAGACTCATGTTTTGTGAAGGAAACGAAGTTTTGGTTTTAACCAGTAGCGTCGCAATTAATTTTACTTTGAATAATTTCAAAGAAAAAAGTGATACGCCACCGTCTTTTTCAAAATCAAAAATTATTTTCTCATTCGCGTTTCATTTTGCAATAAAAAAGGTCTCTTTATTTTTTCTCCATTAATAATAATATTCGAATAATTATTCGTATGCTCCAGAACAGTGAGCTGTGATTGTCCAATAATACTCATTTGTTTTATTAATATTTTGACAGTTCAGTTCTATAAACTCAAGTTTGATTTACTGATAGTTAAACTACCTGTTATTTTGAGAAAAAAATGGTTAATTTTACTAATCACGAGTTGGCAGACATTCATCATTCATTACATGTATGGTTTGGCTGATGGCAGCGCACCTCAGGCTAGACGGTTGTATCAAGAGCGCTTTCCCGATAGAATCATACCCGACAGGCGAACATTTTCAAACATACATAGGTTGACTGAAACAGGTACTCTTAAACCTAACAATCATTTAAAAGGTGCCCATCCTACAACAAGAACTGTAGAAATCGAAGAAGCAGTTTTAAATGCAATCGATGAAGATCCGGAACTTAGCACTAGAAAAATTGGAAATAATCTGAATCTCTCACGTTTTGGTTTGGAGAATTCTTCACGATTTTCTTTTATATCCGTATCATATTCAACGAGTTCAAGCTCTACTTACCCGTGATTTTCCTCTTCGAATAAACTTTTGTCAGTGGTTTTTGGAGAATATTGCACAAAATCCCTTGTTTGATTGTGAAATAATATTCACGGACGAAGCTAATTTCTCAAGAAACGCTATCAGAAACTTCCACAATAACCATATTTGGGCCGAAGAAAACCCGCATGCAGTTGTAGATTCTAACCATCAGGAGCAATTTTCGGTAAATGTCTGGGATGGAATTGTTGAAAATTATTTAATTGGACCTTTTTTTTTTGCCGGAAAGGCTGAATGGTCATTCGTATCGAATATTTTTAGAGGAAGATTTACCCATATTAGGTACTCGAAAATTTACCACTTTTGATTAGAAATAGGATGTGGTTTATGCACGATGGTGCACCAGCCCACTTTAGCTTAGAAGTGAGAGAATACTTAAATCATACATTTGGTAACCGATGGGTAGGCCGTGGTGGACCCCAACCCTGGCCTCCCAGATCCCCAGATTTAAATAGTTTGGACTTTTTCTTATGGGGACATCTTAAAAGTTTGGTATACAACACTCCAGTTAACACTGTAGAAGAATTGAGAAATCGTATAATAGCTTCCTGTGATGTAATAAGGAATACTGAAGGCCTCTTTCAAAGAGTACGCTCTAATATGAGACGAAGAGTTGACACATGTGTCCTTGCAGGTGGAGGGCACTTTCAACAACTAATCTAAGTTTTTTCATAAAAAGATCATTAATTTACTTCAAGTCGATCAATATGTTTAATTATTAATGGGTATTAATTATTATTGTTTAGTTTTTAGTTGTTAAAGATGTTTTCAGTAAAAAGAATAAAATGTGAAACTACGAAAAAATGTTCTTATTATTGTTTTCATTTACGTACAAATAAACTGTTCTTTAGTTTTTACAATCACAGCTCACTACTAATTATTTTCTGGAGCAGGCGAATAATTATTATTGTTCTTTATTTTTTTACTGCAAAACCGTTCAAGATACGAGAAAAAATCAAGAGACCTTTTTTTATTGCAAAGTGAAACGCGAATCAGAAAATAATTTTTGATTTTGAAAAAGACGGTGGCGTATCACTTTTTTCTTTGAAATTATTCAAAGTAAAATTAATTGCGACGCTACTGGTTAAAACCAAAACTTCGTTTCCTTCACGAAACATGAGTCTTTACACTTAGTTTACACCCACCAAGTTTCATAAAAATATCTAATACAGTTTAGGAGTTATTAGGAAAAAAACAAACTTTCAAAAAAATCTTTAACACCTTGTGAATCAAAAATAAAGCGAAAACAGACCTATGTTTATATGAAACTTTTGTCTTAAAATCATGCGTAGATTAACCTCCTGCAATATTGACATTCAATTATGTAACACCCTGTATATTTTTATATATTCTGTTAGAGTATTCCTTCACGAA